TTGCATTTCTTCCCCAAATTTCCTTTTTAGGTGTGTGAGGTAATGTTATTACCCTAATTTTTAAAATAAAGACCTGAGACCAGAGAGGCTAAGTGTTGTGTTCAAATCAGAATGGACTCAGCACTGGACTGTACACCTTCACAACACCCCTTACAGAGCATTCATCTTTATAATTAGAACAAATTGCAGGGCCCTGTGCATAGGAAAAGGACTGGAACAACATTAAACATTAAATATTTTCGGCTTATTGAACTATGAGTGTCTTCATCCTTCAAAAGCGTGTATTAAAACTAACTTGGATCCAACAATTTTCTGCTAAGGTTAAGGTTGTGCCTACCCTGACAGCATAATAACTAGTAAATAGGTTGAACTAGTGATCTATCTATTTGTAAGATGGAATTCACAATCTTGTTATCTTTTAAAGTCTTTTGCTGGCAAATTTGAAATAGACTTCTAATTCCTTGATAATTTTCCTTTTATCCTAATGACATTAGAATCAGTTATATCTGGAAGATAATGCTACTACTTAAAATTTGGGGGGCCTGGGTGGCTGGATCGATAGTGGCGGCTGGGTGGCGGAGACTGTGAGAGATGGACAGTATGAGGTTGTGGCTAGAGACCTAGGTGAAGCCAAAAGACCTTTTATTAGAGATCTCATTTTCTCAGGCCCAAATGCAGGGAGGGAGAATGGTCCCACGATCCCACTGCACATTATGGTAAAATCCATGAGATTTGAAGCTTTGATCTATTCTCTCCCCTCATTTTACAGATAAAAAGCCTGAAGTCCAGACAACTTAAGTGGCTAGTCCACAGCCTAGAGAATGGCATAAAAGGACACCAAGATGTTTAGAATCTAGAAGCACAGTGCCTTCTAAGGAGGATGGATCCTGTTAATGGAAAAGCTTTTTCGGGCTGAGCTCCTGGATGGATTTAGGTATGCAAATTTGAGCACAGTAGGTGGGAGAGCTGAATTGCTCCACCTAAGAGAGCATTCTCCTTGGAGTTGTGGGTCTTGACAGGAGTAGGGATGAGGGGAGAAGAGAAGTAGCCTGAGAGACCTAAATGGCTCTGAGTCCCCCACCCTTCCCCCAATTCATCACAGGACCAGAACATGCTGGCTGGGCGTGAATTATTAGTGGGTACTGGG